AAATGGTGGGGAGTCAAGTGGAAGGATGCTGGGTAAATGGTGAGCTGGCAGCATGGGGCGACCATCTCTCAGGGAAGTGCCATCACTTTGGTTCTGAAGCTGCCATCTTCAAGAACAGAACCACCAGCCAGGAACAGAAGCCCTCAGTGCCATGTGGCAATGAAACTGCCATGCCTGAAAGTTCAGCTCTTCCCTGTTACTTCTGGTGAGCACTGACTGACTTACATTCTTCCTGAGCATACACCACAAGCCAGTTTCATAAAAGACATTACGTGTCTCACGTCACTCCTACAACACCGCTATAACTCTGTTAGAACTGCCCAACCCAGCTTCAGATAGACACAACCTCAGAATGTGTATCAGGAAACTGGCAAACACACACACAGCACAAGAGCTCAGCTCCTAACAGTTTGGGGCTTTCATTTTTGTTGTTTTAATGAAAAATGCTTTTGCTTGATTTTTTTCTTTGTTTGTCTTTGTTTTGTTTTGTTTTTTACTAAGTGAAATTGACTCCTCGTTTTCCTAGGAAAATATCTGGGTCCACCCCTTCTACTCCTTAGGGTAGGGGATTAGGTGGACACCCTTATCTTCAATGCTAATGCCCAAGCAAACACCGCCAGTTCATTCTTTCCTGAATGTTCATGGTGTAGCCATCCACCCCAGTGGGGAATCACCTGGACCCTGCTTCTGTCACAGCAGCACTGTCTGGTGCTCTGGGGCCTGAGGGGGGTAAGTCCAGACACAACACAATGAGACAGAGCAGGGACAGCCACAACTGAGGGCTTAACATGCCACAAAGTGAGAACTCACACGGCTTCCTTGTGTACCTCAGAACGTCACCTGTTCCTCAGAGACATACCTCTCTGTGGCAACCCAGTCCTGCGTATGACGCTGAGAAGCAACAGGACAGAGAGACACACACTAGCCCTGTCATGGCCTCTGTAGAGGACTGGGCGTCTTGGATGTGTCAGAGACAGAATGAAGCCAGGCAGGCAAGACTGAGGATGGCCCAGAGGCTGAGGGTTCGATGGAGCCTTGGCGCTAGAGACTGGTCCTTTGTGAACTAAAGCAGGGGCTGATTGCCAGGACCCGATGGCTGCTCAGTGCTGTCCCAGATGTGCTCCAGCTCAGCTTACTTGTGTGCAGTCTCCATGGGGGAATCTCTACTGATCCAGGATAATAAAGTGTGACTCAAAGCATGGGCAGACACCAGAATAGCCGATGTCCGTGGCTGCCACAGGCTGCAAAGACAAGATCTGTTCTTGTTCATTTCTCGGGGACCATCCCCAGGCCCTCTTCTTCTTCTCTCTTCACAACATCTGCTTTCCTAAAACTTCTGTACTTCTCCTTCCCTTTCCCCTCATGTCAATGAGTCAACTGAGGGCAGGGAAAAACCAAGTCACGAGGCCCAAACAGCTCAGGGGCTGAAATGAATCAGCTGAGCACCCGGGGAGCAGGACCGTGAGATCCCAAACTCTCAAAGAGTTTTCTCATCGTCTCCTTGACTTCCATAGTGCTCACACACAGTGTTATTGTACTCGATGTCTAAGAGAAGGACATTGTTGTGTGTAATTTAAGCAGTACTGTCCATCTGTTCCACACAGGGGGAAACTGAGGCTCAGGCAGACCTACCTCCGTCATCCAAGTCATCTTAGACACAAGCAAACAAACAAAAACCCACTTCAAACTTAGTGGCTTCAATGACAGGAATTTATGGCTCACGGTTCAAAAGGCTGGACACTCACTCCAACAACGAAGTACAAACAGGCTTAGTGGTAGGTAGGGATCTCCTTTCTGGATCCCCATCACACCTTCCTGCAGTCTCTATTTGATGGAAAGGGAAGAAAACTCTCCGGTGTCTCTTTGAAAAGGGCACTAAGCCCATCAATCATAAGGCCCCACCCAACAATACCTAATAACCCCCCAGAGGCTCCACCCCCCTAATGTCATCATGCATATTTCAACACATGACCCTAGAGACACAGACACTAGGACCACGGGAGGTAGACTGGCCTACTTTCAAGCCAAAAGCCACAAGGAGACCAAGGGCCAGGTCTCATCCTCTATTCGCCCACACAACCTGGAATGAGGGACATGCTCAGGAAGATAGAAACCTCATCTACCATACTAGGGCTTCTATGTCTCCTCACCATGTTTTGTTTCCCTACTGTGACTCGCTCTTTTTTATAGAACCTTTCCTCCACACCCTCGGTACTAATGGATCAATCACAGGCACAACAGATACCTAAGACTGTGGCGTTACCCGAAGTGGTCATGGCATTTAACTCCATCATACGTCGAACACACGCTGCAGGGACCCTTCCTAGCTTTCACCCTCAGGAAACACTGAGGAGGGTACATGGGGCACATGTCATCATGTCAGTATAAGACAGACGAGGTCTAACATGGGAGCCAAGTCTCAACCTTCACAAAGCTTTCCGATTTTCCAAACCCGCATTCAGGGAGGCTGTGCAGTGATCCATATACACAGCAGTAAAGGCCCAAAGCCAAGGAGTGAGATCTAAAGACACAAGCAAGAACCCCGAACTCATAGAAGTAACGTGGGACAAACCACACTCCAGTTCCTGAAAGAAATGCTTCCCAGCCACTAAGCTCTGCTGGGCTGCTGAGAATTTATGGTTCTCAGTTCTGTAACACCACAACTCTGTGTGTGGAATGAGAAGGTGCTTTGTTACTACTGGTGGCATTCTCTCATGTTATTCAAAGCCATATTAAAAACTTTTTTTTTTAAAGAATGTGGATACATTTCCCCCTGGCAGGCTCTGATAGGAGGAAAACCTATTCATCTCTCAGCAGACCGCCAACTGCTGGGCTTAGCAATGCCATATCAGTTATACTTAAGACTGCTGGATGATGCTTTGAAGTAATCAGAAATGGAGAGAGAGATGGAGGCTCACTGCTGCAGCTCAGGTCAGAGGTGACTAGCCTAGGATTAAAGTCAGGGGATGGAGTTGGTGGCAAGAGAAGCACTCAGCCCTTGGATCACACCCCCACCAGTGACAAGACATGCGCCCTGAGAACAAGGGCCACCAAAAGAGACACACCACTGGAAAGGCGCACTGAAGTCCCTGCATGAGAAGGGAGCCTCTCCAAGTCAGATCCGTTACCGAAACAGACCAGTCCCACTCAGCACTGCATCCCCCATACCAGGCGCCACTGCAGCATGGTTCCTTTGACCAAAGGTGGATAGCACACAGAAGCGAGGCTAAGATAAACCAGGGTCAGAAATCAGTCCCACTCCAGGGCATGTGACCAGGTGGAAGAGGACCTTCTCCAACACAGAGCTGAGGGAGAAGTGCAGGCAGAGCTGCTCCATGCTACCCCACTGGGCTTGGGAAAAGCTTCTGAGTGACCTCAAGAAAGGGAGGCAGAAGGTGAAGAGGGTAGAGGGTGCTGGTCCTAAGCTAGCTTAGGCATCTAGCAGTAGCACTGAGCAACCCTCTCTGCTCTCTGCATGTTCTAAATATGCCCATAGAAGACTTAAAAGACAAGTCATTCATTTCTGGAAAGAGCCCTAGGGCTAAGACCATTCATTTCCTGCCTCTGCGGAGGTACTTCTGTGTATGTGAATGCACGTGCCTGTGGGTGCACAGGGCACATGGGTGACTGTGCGTACACATGCATGTACATATGAACAAAATGAGTGTACTCACGTGGGGTATGGTGGTTTGAATAGGTATGAACCCCATAGACTCAAGTGTTTGAATGCTTAACCCCTAGGGCATAGCTCTAATAGGAGATGTGGTCCTGTGTGAGTGGGTGTGGCTTACTGAAAGAGGTGTGTCACTAGGGTTGGGCTTTGAGGTCTCCTAAGCTCAAAGACAGTGTGCTTCCTGATGCTTTTAGATCCCTGCTCTCAGCTACCCCTCTACCACCAAGTCTGCCTACTGCTGCCATGCACTGCCATGATGATAATGAACTAGACCTCTGAACTGCAACGAGCCCCAATTAAATGTTTTCTTTATAAGAATCGCCATGGTCATGGTATCTCTTCACAGCAATAAAAACCCTCAGACATGGGATGTGTACACATAAATATTTAGTGTGTGTGTGTGTGTGTGTGTGTGTGTGTGTATGTGTGTTTGTGTAGAGAAACTCTGCCCTTCCTAGTCCTCACACTGAAAACATGTATGTGAAGTTCATGGTATCCTTAAATTTTTCACCACAGCCTCTAGTTCAGAGACTGAAGACAGGATGGAGATCTGCGAACAGCATGAACAACATCAGCAGAGCCCATCCCTCTCGTCCTACAGCCACAGGGACGGACAGCTCGCCAGAACCCCTGACAGTTTGACAGTCAGCGAGATTTTGAAAGGCTGGAGTCACACTGAAGAGCAGCCTCAAAGCAAGGAAATCCAGAGCTGTAGGCACAGAGAAGGGAAAGAACCATAGCCGCAGCCTCGGCATCTTCCTTTCTAGGCCCCTCACTTCTCTGCTCATCACAGGCGAGGCAGCTAGGCCACAGCAACCAGGGGACCACCTGGCTCTCAAGCATGCTGGGGACACAGACACCAGGCCTAAAGATGCCTACTCCAGGTTGCCCAGGTTTTCACCAACCACAGTGAACAGCTAACTACCCTCAAAGTTAGCCAGCATGCTCCTCTAGGCTAAACACGCACCCTGACTCTGTCTCTGCACCTCTACCCCATGAATAGACGGCAACACACAGAGAAAGTCGGGATCACTCAACACCAGGAAGGAGCTGGTGGTATGGCCATTGTGAAAAGGATGATTGAGGTCTTATCTGAAATCGAATTCTTCGGAATTATTTTCTATAATTAAAAACATGGATTTCAAAGCTCTTTCGGTTTGCTCTTGAGATGAAAGTAATATGCCACACTCCTGCCGGCCGGCCTCTTTCCAGCTGGTGCCAGTTCCTTTCCCCGCTGCAGTCCAAGGGCCGCCCTCCCCCTCTGCCCATTAGTCAGTGCAGGCCAGCTCCACCACGAAGTCCCACGGGAAAGCCATGGAACGTTTACCTGGGCTTCACATTTCTTGTGGCAGGAATACTTGCAGGCTGGAAGAAAGAGAAAGAATGTCTGTTAGTCAGGCAATCTTAGGTGATGCTTGCCAGGTCTCCCTCCTTGAGAAAGTTTAGCTGGCAGCCTGGGGAGGGAGGTCTCTCCCTGACAAGAGGCAGCTGGCCACCGAGAAGGCAAATGGAGACTAAGGTGACACCTAATAACCAACCGCATTACAGCTATGTGGTTGAGCACGGGCTCGGCACATACCAGGACTTGGATTCAGTTCCCAGAGCAGGAAAAAGAAGAAAAAAGAGCGAAAGTTCAGTCAGCCGAGGTAGAAATTTATCAGGAGTGGGGTCCTAAGTAGACAGGTTTTTGAAAAGGTTTCATCCAGTCAAGCTGAAGAAGGCAAGTAGAACCCGGGGAGCAAAAGTCCTCTGCGCACACGCACACACAGAAGTTATAATTTATCCCTAGGGAAAGAAGAGGAGAAAGAAGAAGGGAAGGAACAAAGCCCCAGGCATTTATTCGACCAGAGCCCTCCCAGGAGGGAAAAAGTCACGAGGTCATTTGATCTTGAGGTCATTTGGTCTCGCAGGTTTTCACTTCCGGGAGACCTTAGCAGGCACTGTCAAAATAAATTCATGTCTAAATTCCCACAGAGGAGTCCTTCAACAGGGGCCATTATGTGAGCAGAGCGGGTCCTGTGTCATGGGAGGCCCCAACAATGCAGATGGGGTGCTGGAACCAATGTGGATTTCACAGGCCCTCCCCTCTGGCCCAGAGGCAGGCCACAGCGGGGCCTCAAGGAATAAAAGGCCAGCAGCAGCAGCATGGTGCAGTGACAAGGCCAGACATGGGAGAGAGGGCAGGATGAGGACGGTGGGAAATGAAGCGACTGCGTGTCAGCAACCCACAACCACTCCCGGGGGCACCACAGGGGCCTAGATGCCTTCCCCAGGGCACCTGCCTGAGACTTCCTGTCTGGGCTCTATTTCTCCAGCAGGGCTGCCCAAGGCGAGCCCTAGGACCTCTTGGGACCCCTGTCCCCCGTCACAGAGCTATCAATGTCAAAAGGAATCCTTCATGGGCCCTGCTTTCAAACTACAGAGTAATGCCCCAAGCAGAAATGGGCAGAACCCAGACAACAAGGCCTCAGAGGTCAGAGAGACAGAGGACCAAATCTCAGCTTGGGGCTGTGAGTCCAGGAGCTGGGGAAACCTTTCACCCTGCCTTCTAGACAATACTTAAAGGTTGACAGAGGGTTAACTAAGGCTAAAACAGAAAAACGTGCCCACGGCCGAGGAGTTTGTATACCCCAGGAGTTAACCACCTAGTTAGGTCTTTATCTGTGTGTAATCTAGATTTTTCAATCGTCTGCCCAAGCTTCTGAGATCTGTTAGAATACATACCACAAATATTGATTCTTCATCTTCTAATCAGCACAACACAGAATTGTGATCAGGGATTTCGCAATCAAGAAAGATTTCCACTGGATAACAGGACAACCACAAGAGTTTCAAAACCCAGACAGAAGCCCGCCCAGGCAGAGGACAGCAGGCAGAAAGTACTAAGGTAGGAGGGGCAACACAGCCCGGGAGCAGCTGATGACTGGGTCAATCACATGACAGGCAGCCTCTGAGATGACCTTAATCATTCCAGCCCCATGCACAACAAATCACCACTGTCTGTATGTTAGAGCAAGACGGCGGTGGGGATGCTGTGATTCCTGCCACTTTATGGGGCCACTTCAGCAACCCTGCAGAGCTGCCAGTTTGGGAAGAAACTGAAGCCACCAGCCAGCATGCAGCACTTGGCCAGTCCGGCTGCCATCTCTGTGAGCGTGATGGCTCAGTGACAGCGGATGCAAACCTCAGCCAGGCCTTCAGTGACAGATAGTCTCTGAGAAGAAGCCTACTGTGGACGGCCTGGTCCCCTAAGTCTTACATTCCCAAACCAAGACGCAGTGGAAAAGAGCAGATGCTTACAGTTGTAGCAAGGCATTGAGAGCATGTTCACAGCCCAGTGAAATCCAGCCATCACTGTCCCTCGTTCAGGTTCCGGCTGTCACATGCTTGCTGCCTTACAACCATCCCAGAAAAAGAGCCAATGTCAGATCACCCACGGGGAAAGCTCAGCCACTGCAGCATCAGCTCAAGACCTTCAGTGGGCCCTCACTGACAGCTCCCCACTTACCCCTGCCCACCTCAGTCTGGTTCCAGTGTTGGTTCTGACTATCCTATGCTTGCCTCTAGGACCCACCCAGCTACCTTGGTGCCTCTGAGCCCAAGGCTTGTGGTGTCAGATCATCTTAACAGTCCATCGCTCAAAGCAGGCTACGAGCGGGAGGACAGGCAGTCTTTGGTGTGTAGCATCCGATTCCGCCCATGGCAACACGAGTGGACCACGCAAAGGCAACTCACTCTTCAGTGTCTACGGCATAGAATGCACAGGCATTCCTAAAAACTCATCGGAGTCCAGCAAGAAGCCACTCGTCTTTGCTTCTTTTACTGAGGGAGGTCAGAGTCTGGATGAAACCTGAGGACTCATTTATACATCAACTGTGAACCAATCACGAAATGCTGCAGGCATGCTCGTAGAAGCCCACCGCCAGCAGGCTGACACACAGCAAGGACCTTGTACCTGGCAGCCTTTTGTCCCCCAAGTGGGGAAGGTGCCAGCAAATGGGAGCCCCCCAAATCACTAGAGCTCCCCACCAAGAGGCACGCAGGCTCCCTAAGGCAAGGGTACCCTCAGTCAATCCCACCCATCTGCATAGAAATCATCATGTTTTGATTTAAATACTGGCTTTTTTTCAAATTACTACTATATTTGGCCTCTAACAATTTCAAGAATGTATTTAATGCACTCCAATTACTCTCTGAACTTTAGCAGAGGGTACGGCTAGCAGCTGCCTACTAAACAAATGGTTGTCAACTACTAAGAATAAATAGATGGAGCTGCAGAGATGGCTCAGTGGTGATGGAGGAGGGTCATCTTTCTATCTGTTGTTTCATTGGTTAAGTAATAAAGAAACTACTTGGCCTCTGATAGGACAAAAAATTAGGTAGGCGGAGTAGACAGAACAGAATGCTGGGAGATGGAAGCCGAGTAAGGCAGTCGCCATGATTCTCCCACTCCAGACAGACGCAGGTTAAGATCTATCCTGGTAAGCCACCTCGTGGGCTACACAGATTATTAGAAATGGGTTAGATCAATATGTAAGAGCTAGCCAATAAGAGGCTGGAACTAGCGGGCCAGGCAGTGTTTAAAAGAATACAGTTTCCATGTAATTATTTCGGGTAAAGCTAGCCGGGTGGCGGGAAGCAGCCCTGCCACTCTTATTACAACACAGTGGTTAAGAATACTAGTGTTCTTCCAGAGGACCCAGGTTCAATTCCCGGCACCAACAAGAGAGCGAACAGTTGTTTCTAACTCTGGTTCCAGTATTTCTGGCATCCTCTTCTGACCTCATTGGGCATGAGACACAAATATGGTGCACAGATAAACATACAGGAAAACACTAATAGATATGAAATAAAACTAAACAAATCTTTCTTTTATCACCTAATTAAAATTTCTAAAAAGAAGGAAGAAAAGAAAGGGGAAAACTCTATAGCTGTGGTTGTTCTTGGGAATAGAGCCTCACTTTGTAGGTAAGGTTAGCCTCAAACTTATGGCAAAACTCCTGCCTCAGCCTCTCAAGCGCTGGGATTATTGGTGTTTAAGCTACCAGATCTGGCCAAAAGAAAAGCCACTCACAAATCCTTGACTTCTAGCCTTTCTAGGGGTATTCCCTCAGGCTGCAATTCTGCCTCCCAAGCCATTATTGGTGGATTAAAATCCAGGAGGTATAAGGTTATATCGTATAAATGTGTACACTACAATTTCTCTAAGACTTCATCACAATCATCCATGGGCAACAGTCCTGTGCATCCTAAAGACAATTGTAGGCTGAGTGCCCGTATCCAAAATCCTTCGGATTAATAGGTTTCCGATTTGGGGACATTTTCGTAAATATTGTTGGCTTTCAATTTTACTCCAAAAGCCCAAAGTTTGAAATTGCTCCAAAATCTGAGATACTATGTGCATCTAAATTTTAGATTTTGGAACATTTTGGTTTGTAGAGTCTTAGATAAGCCTATATACTTTTTCTCATCCAGAGATAAAAAGTAAAGATAAATTTAAAAATTTTAAAAAAAAAAAAGTGCCATTACTCACTCACTTCTGCCCCCTCAGCATCCGAACCAACTTCTTCCCGAAACTAAAGGACAGAGTCCCTTCAGCTTCCCCATGTGAAAGATGGCCAGAAAGAGGGCGGGGCATGTATCAATGCCACCGTCAGCTGCTCAGAGTCTCACAGATGCCACTTAACAGACTGGCTTCCTCCTCCCGGCCCATGACCTTTCCCCTCAACACCAGGCTCACGGGGCTCAGGGATGTCCTTTCACTCTCCACAAAGTCCCCACAGCACCTTGAACTCATGGTCCCCTGAGCGCTCCATGTGAAAGCTCCGTGTGCCTTCTCATCCATCCACTGATCCCACATAGAACCCTATTTCCTGGCTGGCTCGGACCCCTCTGCCACTCCCACACCCATGCAGTGTTTCTCAGAAAGACAGCATGCTCTGAGAGCTTTCACACGCTTGCTCTGAGACTCTCTGGAAGCCCCTCGTGCCCCTGTGCTGGCCAGTGTCCGCTGCCCTCTCAATGTCTCCCACTTCCTCCTCGCCTATGGAGCCATATTTAGTCTAGCTTCCCCTCACTCCATCCTTGTGGGAGTCAGAGAAAAGTCACCCTTAGACAGACCGACAGACAGATCCTGCCTGCTTGAAGTTAGCAGTTGTCAGAGAGGGTCTATAGGCCTCTGGGTCCCTATGGCTTCCCAATGGGCTGATGAGACCAAACTATGTTCAGACATCTCTTTCTCCTTTCACTCGTGTAACACTGTGGGGAAAGTGCTGAGGGCTCCGCAAGAGCCTGGGAAACAAGACCAACTTGCACTAGCTACCACTCCATTCACTACCAGCGGCCACTCGCGTTAAAAAGCTGCC